GGTGGGGGGGCGGGCGAGGGGACTGACACTAGGGGGTCTTTGCCGGTAGTTAGGAAGGAGCCCCTTCTCCTCAAACAGCTGCTTTTCTGCCACCTGTGCTCCCGGGCTCAAAGCTTTTTCTTCATTCTGTTTGGTAAAGCCAATATAATGTCAGTTTATATCTGTGCTGCGGTTTGTTTGTTTGTTTATTTGTTTTCTTTCGGTTGTATGTACGTTTTAGAGGGTGCTTTGGGGCTGAAATTCACCAAGGGATGTGTGTGGTCCAGGAGGTCTCAGAGGAGATGCGAGCGCTGAGCAATGTGCGTCTTCACTGACGCCACAGCTGCAGTACAGTAATCAATTTTAGATAGCTCAGGGGAGAAGGGATTCTAAATATAGTTACCTATAAAACCAGAAAGCTTTGCCTGGTCCTTCTGATGCACCTGCGCGTGTTTTGAGAAAATGACTTTTCAAAAATAAAGTGTTCTGGCCCTGATTCTCCTCTGCGAGCACTGACGGTTGTATGAAGTTTGGTGTTTCATCCCACCTCACACAATTTTCCACATTTCCCCAAAGTGTGCTGTGGAGACAGCCTGGAGAGCTGGAGTCTCAAAGGACATCTCTCCTCTTGAGGTGGTGCTTTAGCAAGCCTTTCTTTAATCTGGCTGTGGTACAGAGACTCTCTACTGCCTCAAGCGTGAGGTTGGCTTGTCCAGCTGCACAGTGAATGGGAAACACTTTCAGTTGAAAAAAACAACCCCTAAATTACAGGTTTTTGCTTGTGGCCATACTGATAAGAGACTAAGAGCACTCCCTGTGCACAATGTAACTTTGAGTAGGCTGCATGACTGAAGATTTAGTAAAATAATGGAAGTATTGGTATTGTAGCACCTATCTACAGGCTGCAGAAGTGTTTAGTGTCCAAGTCCTGGTTTGATTCAGCAACCGTGTGTTGCTTCTGAATGTTAAAAAATAATATACGTTTTTCTTTTACTAGCCTGCAGCTGGTGCAAAATGAGTGTTCCTGACTACATGCAGTGTGCGGAGGACCATCAGACTCTCCTGGTTGTGGTTCAGCCCATTGGCATTGTACCTGAAGAGAGCTTTTTCAGGATCTACAAGCGCATTTCAGCAGTGAGTCAAGTGAACGTGCGTGACTCTCAGCGTGTGTTGTATATCCGCTATAGGCACCATTACCCGCCCGAGAACAACGAATGGGGGGATTTTCAGACACACCGGAAAGTTGTGGGGCTGATAACTATTACGGACTGTTCGTCTGCAAAGGACTGGCCTCAGACTTTTGAAAAATTCCATCTTCAGAAGGAAATGTATGGCTCTACTCTCTACGATTCCCGGTTGTTTGTCTTCGGGCTCCAAGGAGAGATTGCGGAGCAGCCCCGCACCGATGTGGCGTTTTATCCCAGTTACGATGAATGTGAAACCGTGGAGAAGAGAATAGAAGATTTTATCGAGTCCCTCTTCATAGTGTTGGAGTCGAAGAGGCTTGACAGAGCCACTGATAAGTCTGGAGACAAGATCCCGCTCCTCTGCGTTCCATTTGAGAAGAAGGATTTTGTAGGTCTGGACACCGACAGTAGGTAAGCAGCTTTTTTTGTCACCTCACAGGTCTTGAAAAACATATGTGGCAACTGCTAACCTGTAGAATAAGCCTATTTGGAAGGACAAAGTGTACTTTGTTACAGCAAAGCTTGTGTGCTTATCTTATTGTGTGTGGCTGCTGTAATTTAAGATAGTTTAATTTGTAGTCTGACTATATCTGATGTTTTGAGGTTTTATATATATATATATGTTTAATGTATGAGGCTAATCAAATAACAGGAAGAAGTCACAGGAGAGGTTTGATAGGTTTTGCTATAAAGAGACTTTTTGCTGGAAAGCTTAAATTTGTTTATAGATATACAGTGTCAATAAATTAAATTCATGTAGATGAAAAACAGTTTTATATTATGTTGAATAATAGATGACTAATCCTACTTACTCTGTTGGGGTTATTTTTTCCTTTAAGGCTCTGTCTACTTTTTCATCCTATGAAGCAATGATCAGTTATTTTGGTGACTTAAGTTCAGTGTCTTTCCATGTCTGCCATTTTTACTTAATTATTTGATATTCTTGACCCATCTTGTTTTGCTGCCGTTCTTCTCACAACTGTTCTCTTTTGTTTCGTGTATGTTATAGTTTATTTTTTGTAGTTGTTGTTTTTTTTCCCCATCTTTCCTCCCCAATCATCTGCATGCTCCACTTTCAGCTTTGAGTTTTCCATAGTTCTTGTGTTAGGGATTAGTAATTCTGGCTTGTTAGCTACGGACAGGTTCAAAATCTATTTGACTCCACTGTTCGTCATCAAATCCATAGGACAGAAGCAACCCCCTTCCTTTTGTCTTGGAAAAGGCAGAGGTGTGGAAACCCTACCAAAACACGCAGTATTGTGTGGGTATAGTATCTTTTGCATCTGCTAGGGATGTCGGCAGTGGTTATTTTGTGTAAAAGCTCAGAGGTATCCAGGCGGGCTTGGCCAAAGCTGTCCAGGCACGTTTGTGAAGCCTTCTGATCATGTTAATCAGCTCTGCCTGCAAAATTAGTCCTAGAGTATCTATGTAAGAATGTGATACACTGGAAGAAAGTATTCTAAGTTTCTAATTAGTTTGAAGCCCTCCAAGGCCGCACCTTGAATACTGTGTTAAGTTTTGGACACCACAGTGTAAGAAAGACATTGAGGTGCTGGAGAGGGTCCAAGAAACAAAGCTGGTGAAGGGTCTTGAGAATAAGTCCTATGAGGAGCGGCTGAGGGAGCTGGGGTTGTTTATTCTGAAGAAAAGGAGGCTGAGGGGAGACCATATCGCCCTCCACAACTGCCTGAAAGGAGGGTGTAGAGAGGTGGGGGCTGGTCTCTTCTCACAAGTTACAATCAACAGGACAAGAGGAAATGGCCTCAGGTTACACCAGGGGAGGTTTAGGTTAGACATTAGGGAAAATCATTTACACTGAAATGGTTTTCAAAGACTGGCACAGGCTGCCCAGGGCAGTGGTGGAATCACCATCCTCAGATGTATTTAAAAGCCACCTACCTATGGTGCTCAGGGACATGGTTTAGAAGTGGGCATGGTAAAGTTAGATAATGGTTGGTCTTGATGATCTTAAAGGTCTTTTCCAGCCATAACAATTATGTGATTTTACGATTAAATGATCTTTGGTTGCTTGAAGGACCAACAGTGTTTTTCTCCCTTGCTCCTGGTCCTCTTTGCTGATGAGCAGTTGAACTTGCTCTGACTTGCTCACCCGATGTTGTTACTCTCTCTGTGTTCTGGTTGGCCCCTGCACTATTCAACTTTCATTAGTGGTATAAATTATTTCGTTATTGTTTTTTGTACTCTGCATGGGTGGTGAAGTTTTGTAGGCTAGACAAGCCTTTTTAGAATCTTGGCTTTAATTTACTCAGCTTGGATGAACTTTGGCTGAATGTAATCACCAAGATTTCCTGTTCCAATTAGCTAAGAAAACTACAAATCTTGGCCAAGAATCTCAAAATCAGTATTAATTATCCTGTTTAATTGTGTCTTCTAAATAGCATGCTTCCAAATTGGACTTTGGAAGTCAGTTCCTTACATAAATTGCTTATTTATGAGCAGTGGCTGTGTGTTGGCAAGTGGAGAAATATTTCCTGTGAAGCTCTGAACTGGTGAGGAGCTCAAAGAACAGCGAGTACGTTTGTCTGCACATAACCAAGAAGGTATTTTATGCTGTTGTACTGAAGAAATGAAAGAGATGTAGTGTGATGGTTGAATTCTTCGCAGAGTGGAAGGTGTATGAGCCTGGTTTTGTAAACATACGCATTTTTAAAGATTTAAGCACTGGTTCAGGTGAATACCAAATGGTTTTTCAGTTATTCTAGATCGATGGAGGTACTTTAAGTGTTTGCCCTTAACTGCTCAAAGAAAAGATGTTAAATGTTCTAATCTTTCCTCTTTCAGTTCAACAGTAGGGAAGATTTTCAGCTTTATTTTGCTGTGGAGTTTGTACTCCTGGTTGCTTTGAAACTTGGGATTTATATATGAATAGCATAAGCAAGCTGATTTAAAGGTCTTTATATTCAGTTTAGGATTTTGTATGGATGACTAAGAAAATACTCTAAATGTCCAGACTTTTGTCTTTATATTTTTGAGTTGTGTCACAGAAAGGAGAAATTTATGAAATCCCAAGTAAATGACAGAAAAAGAGTTGTCTTTGATTGAGTTAGAAGTACATATGCATAGCATAGCTGAGCTTCTTGGCACAGGGACCTTTCTAAGGCCCATGAAGTGTGGTTGAACTAAGATCAGTTTATGAAACAAACTTACACTTTCAGGCCAAAGTTTTTAGGTGGGAAATGGTACTGTGTTGCGTGTTATTACTTGGTTTTTTTTATTGTAGCCTGTTCTCTTTTGCAGTGACAGATTCCCTAAATAAGGGGAATGCATTGCATTAAGTCATCGCTGCGAGATACAGGGCTACAGAGAGTTAAAAAAAAGGGTTAAAGGCAAAGAATATCCCTTTACTCTCTTTGATATACCCTGTGTCCCTTTAAAAAAATTTTTTTGTATATAATGTACCCTGACCTCCCAGTCAGTGTACAGCTGGTTAAAAAGCACAAATATTCCACATTAAATAGGTGAAAGAGAACGCATGCTCTCTGTGCTTAGGACAGAGATTATCTCTACTGCTGCAGTTGCAGATGTCTACTGAGGCTAAATAAGTGTATTTTTTCCTGTAACTTCTAAAATTAAAGTGAAATTTCACGCTGTGTAGCAAAGGTCTCATTAGCTGTAGAGTGCAGCTGTAACCTTGAGTTTAGGTTGACACATTGAGTGTAAATATGTTAAGAAGTTACATGGGCATAGTAATTAAGATCACAGGATTTGAAGACTCGTTAAAACTACTGAACTAGTTTTGTATCTTGAAAGAGACTTTTCTCCAAGCAATTTATTGTAAAATATTAAGGTTAATGCTTATGTTATTATCAGGACTAGATACACAGAACTGATCTCTCTCACCCAGTTCGTTATACTGCTGTTAATTTGATTGTGTGATCAGAGTTCAAAAATTAGGAAGCTGAATGCTGCACTTGAAATAAAATAATTATTGAAAAAAGGTGGAGCTGCTGCTTGTCTTCTGTGAGTTGCTTGCAGAAGAGACAACATTCCCAGCACTGTTCTGAGATGACAGTATACACAAAGCTACTATATTATTTGTGTAGAAGAATTTATTTTGGCTGGTAGAAAACTTTATGTATGAAAAATACTGGGGTTAAATCTTAAGAAGCTTTGAAGAAAGATTATTCTGTTAAATACAAGTTGTAGGACTGGGAGTCTGCCCTTGGTTTAACTCCTAAAGCACTCAGCAAGTAGATGATCTTGGCAAATCTGTTAATATTCTTTGTTTTCTTTATTTGTGAAGTAGGTAAAATATCTACATGGTCACAGGGCTGCTGAGGATAATTGGAAAAGTCTCTGCAATCAGTTGTACTTGAGTCATTTGTAGAGACTGGGAGACTGATTGAAAAGAATGGAAATGCATGTTCTTGTGATGATACAAAGGTCCTGCAAACTTGAAACTAGGAAACATCCTTGTCAGAAATCCTATTTGTTTAATTTTTCTATTTGTTTTCATCTAAAAATTTAAACATACTCATGTACGATTATAAATCTGCTTGGGTAAGCTCATTTTAATGTTCTTTACATCAGTTTGCATCTTAGGTTCTTTTCTTTTTAATATTGGTAAGGCAGAAATTTAAAACTATTGAGTGATGAGAAAGTAGGGCTCTAAATATTATAGATGTGTTTTTCTCTACACACTGTCGTAGATGGGATTTGTTCGCTGATTATCGAAGTTTGATATCTCAGTATGTGTATGTGGCTGTTAATTTTCTTTTTGTTCTCTGTCTTTCTAATTTTTATTTTGTTCCTTTTTCCCCCCCCTTCTTCTCTCATACTGCCCTGTGAGTTTGTTGTTGGGTCTAAAAAGGTAGGCTGTGATTGCGTCTCTTTCCAAATAGTTAGCTTTCTTCCATGTACTGCCTTTTCCACTCCGCCTTCATCGCATATTTTAGTGTTGCTTTTTTTACATTTCTTTTTTTTCAGTACACACAAAAATAATTGCTGCCTGGAGCCTCACTACTGTGGTTGACCCCTTTTGGCGCACTTGGCAATTATATTTGGTAGCAATGCTGAATTGTTTTGTAGGACACACATGATTTGCTTAGGCGGCTGCTGGCGTCTGGAATTTGCTTTCTTTTTTAAACTCCAAAGCCATGAAGCTGTTGCTGCCTGTGTTTGGTTTCCAAAGTCAAAAGTTCTGGCAGTCGATTAAACGCCGTAGCTGTGTCTTTTTAAGGCTGGATGATGTTATGATTGGTGATAGCTGGAGTTCTGCATGCTAATCAGTATTAGCAGGATTTGATGGAAATTTTTGTTGAAGCACTTTGCATGAGTATTTCTGCAAATTCATTTTGCATGTTTCTTCTTTTTGAATTTAGCCACTTTGAAAAGTTGAGAATCCAGAAATTCCTTCAAACCTGTTGCTGGGTGGTTTGTAGCAAAAATAA